TCAAACTGACCAAGGGAATTCAGAGAAGCATAGATCCATCCAGCTCTTATCTCAAATAACAACTTAAAAGAGACTGTTTGACCAACACAAGGAATGTTAAAAGATTCATGTTAAAAAGGTAAAAAAATGAAAAACAAAACAAAAAACAAATGAAAACGACAGTCAAAAGTTCATTTTCTCCAGCAAGACATTCATTTCTGTAGTTTACTGCTACCAGCAAGTAGAAATATTTCTTCTCCTGATGATGGCCATTTTGACCGAAACTAGTCGAGGAATCTAAATGAAATAATAATAAAAAAAACGAAAAAATATTAATCTACAATCTACCCAGTGTGTCTGAAGATTTTAATTTTTTAATATTTTTTATTGTTCAATATATATATATATATATATATATATATATATGGGGGTGGTGTGGTGTGGGTGTATGTGTGTACGTGTGTGTGTGTGTGTGTAGTCTATTTCTGGTTAGCTCCCTTACACTGGGAGGCGCCATTTGAAAAAATAAATAACTATAATGGATAAATCGCAGTTATCGTATTTCACCCCTAAGAATTATCTCGGAGGAGACCGAAAGTACTTGAGTAGTAAAAACTACGGACACTTACTGTTTGAATTTCATCTTAACTTCAAGAAACTGGTTTCAGATCCTGAAAGAATTTTTATAAAAATATATACATGTTGGAATGATCATAGGTTGCTAAAAACACACACACACACACACACACACACATATATATATATATATATATATATATATATATATATATATATATATATGACGTTAATATATATATATATATATATATATATATATATATATATATATATATATATATATATATATGACGTTATATATATATATATATATATATATATATATATGACGTTAATACACCCATTATATATATATATATATATATATATATATATATATATATATATGACGTTAATACACATTATATATATATATATATATATATATATATATGACGTTAATACACCCATTATATATATATATATATATATATATATATATATATATATGACGTTAATACACCCATTATTACGTGGGATATTGGGTTAATACACCTATTATTACGTGGCACAAGGCCGGTTTAACGTGGGATCTCCGAGCCCGTGGGCTCGGCCAAAAATATGCCCTTTGAACCCGTATAAACGGGTTCAGGGTCGGTTTACCTTCCCGAAAGAGAATCCGCCCTTCGGCGTAGCCTTGTTCGGGTTCCTCTCCGCCCGAAGGCAGAGAGTTCAACCGATCAGCCGGTCAGCCGGTCGTCCGACTTCGGACTGAACTCCCTGCTTCCTCTTGAGGCGCAGTATTTATTACGTATGGAATAGTCCATTATGTTATTATGGGTAAAGTCCCATAACAAGATCGAACCTCCGACACAACCAAAATGTTTGTGAGATAAGGTTGCTTACTTATGGTGGGCACAGATCAACAGGAAGTGTATCAATTGACCCTTGTCTAATGAGTAATGAGTATCAGCTGTTTCTTAGTTATAGATGAGGCTCTATTTACATCGACACGCACACGGACTATCACCAACTTCAGTAACGTTCCTCTCTGCCACCATTATCTCTGATAGCTAATTAGAAGATTACTTGATTTGTAATGGACGCCATTATGAGACCGTCTTATCGACCTCTTCTACAAATAAATGGCGCCTTTTGTCTTGAGTTCTCTTAGTGGCTATCATTCTAATGAAACTGTAAGCATTCTATTCTGTTTTCTAAGCGAGTTGTACACATCATGCGAGTTGTGCCCGAACAGAAATATTTATATCGTTTAGATTTTGACGACTAATTCAGTGTTGATAATTAGGCATTCGTTTATCCTCCGACAGGAATCGAACCTGTATCCTATACGGAAACGTCATATAGCCTGTTGTGCTTTTACCGATTTCGCCACAGAGGAACGTTCAGTTAGCAAGGTCGATTTTACTGTCTTTAAACTACAATTCTCCATGATTTTCTCTCATACATTCATATCTGCTCAATGCGTATACAAATGTAAAGAAATGACGTCACACATTATGAAATGGACAAAGTCCGACAATTATTTGAAGACATTTTTTATGTTTATACATTCTTTTTATAGATACAAATATTTAAGTAAATGCTCTGTTTACAATAAACAGTATTAAACAACATTTACCGGCCTGAATGTCCGAGAAATTTTCATAGAAAATAAAATCGACCTGGCTAACCGAAACGGTCCCCTGTGGCTAAATCGGTAAAGCACGTCAGGTAATATGACGGTTCCGTGTAGGATACAGGTTCGATTCCTGTCGGAGGACGCATATTTTCTATGAAAATTTCCCTCCTTGGTCACTTTGACATTTTTATTGGTTTCTGGGAAGGGGATGTGTGTGTTAAGTGTATGTTATCGTTTAGTTTTTTGGGGAGTTTGTTTATATGTGAGAGACCTCAGTATTTCTGTAAGCATGTCTGTCTAGTGTGATTGAGAAATGTGGTTGGGGTGATCTATGGGATTGTATATTAATTCTGTGTGTGTTGTTTAGTCTGTAGTTAAGTCCGTCCGGACAACTTGTTTTCATGTTCCTCTAGTATTTTTCTAAGGTTATCTTTTCTGTCTATTTCTATTTTTTCAATAATAGTGAATTTTACATGGTTATTAAAATCATGTTTTTCTAGGAGGAAATATTGTTCTACGGATAATAATCTTTTCGTCGTGAGCTTAATCCGATTCCGATAATTATTAATTCTAGGCCATTCAGATTTTCCCACATATTGTTTCCGGCTTCAGGCGCTTTCTGAGAGGTTAATTATGTTATGACTTCTACAGTTAGAGTCGTGGTAGATTTTGAAAGTAGATTTAGTTACTGAGTTACAACATTTATCTATCTATCCATCTCTCTCTCTCTCTCTCTCTCTATATATATATATATATATATATATATATATATATATATTAGAACGTAGGTATATATATTTATTAATATATATATATATATATATATATATTAATATATACTTCTTAGCTCTCTCTAACTACATTGAGCATTCTTTTTGTTTCCAAGTAAATATTTATTCGCTTACCTGTGTATACACGCTAACACATGTATATACTGTTTCTAATATCTAGTTTTTGGTTTATATCACACACACACACACACATATATATATATATATATATATATATATATATATATATATATATATATATATATAGATAGATAGAATAAGGAACAAATACGAAACGTTTTTATTAAAGTTTCATCAGAGAATGAATGATGCTAAATTTCTTTTCTCGGACGTCCCCCTTGTGGAAATTCCTCCCGACAAATTTAATATGCAAAAATTTTAATGCAATGTCAATCGCTTTTCTACAGTCCTCCTAATTACTCTTCTTTTGTGTTCACTTGCTGTTGCGGTTTCAAACATCATGTAACCACTTGTGTCTCAGTAGCTTTATTGCCTTGCATGGGGTGAACTCAATGAAAGAAAAAGAAAAATCACTGAAAATTCCATAAACGGAGCGAGTAAGTAACAAGGAAGTCTTAAAGAAAATGGTAACGGAAAGAACATTTCTACACAAAATCAGGAAAAGACATCTGAAATTCCTTGGACGCATAATAAAGGGTTTGGAAAATATAACACTCACAAGGCATATTATGGACAAGAGAAATAGGGGAGGGTAGTGAGCATCTTGCTTGCGTGAATAGATGGCAAAACAGGGGTGAGTGCGTGAACGTTAGCAAAGGGTAAAAACTGCTAAGAGCCACACGAGATAGGAAGCTGTGGAGAGTCATGATCGTCTATATCCCAAAGGTACGTGGTGTACAAGTTTCGAGGAAGTATTTTCTTTGATGTGGCATGTTCCTTCAAGGTGTTAGCGATCACGGCTCTCCACAATTTCCTGTCCTTTTTAGGTCATTTTTTAACTTTTTTTTTTATTTATTTCTGCTCACCCCAGTGCCACCATTTAATTTACGAAAGCGCGCTAGGTATGTTATACGTTGTTTTCCTACGTACTTCTTGCCTTGAGTTTCTTCTGTGAGTATCAGATTTCCCAAGCCTTCTTTCCTCAGAGCGAAGTAAAATTGACCGGAAAAGTGTACTTGTAAAATTAAGAAAAAAAAAATGACGCAAAATGTATTATGTCTATTTAAACCTATTTTATTTCGTTTCTTTATATCTATGCAGATATATTTTCTCACTTTAATACACACACACATATATATATATATATATATCAGACTTGGGAAAGGCCTTGAAAAGGTGGCTGATATAAATAAAATATATATATATAAAAATATATATATATATATATATATATATATATATATATATATATATATATATATATATATATATATATATATATATATATCCATTCTTCAATATTTTTTCGAGAGGGGCATTCATATGAAAATTGTATTCATAAATTTCAAGGACAAAATATAATCACCCCAAACACAAAAATAGTATAAATAATTACCTACAACATATATATATATATATATATATATATATATATATATATATATATATATGGGCTTATGGTCATATCACGTTGAAACACCGTTTTTTGTACTTAAGCAACGTCGGGCCTGGTCAGTACCTATATGGGTGACCGCTTGTTGGGAATAACAGATACTGTAATTACCTACAACATATATATATATATATATATATATATATATATATATATATATATATATATCCCGCTCTTATCTCAAATAACAACTTAAAAGAGACTGTTTGACCAACACAAGGAATGTTAAAAGATTCATGTTAAAAAGATAAAAAAATAAAAAAACAAATGAAAACTACAGACAAAAGTTAATTTTCTCCAGCAAGACATTCATTTCTGTAGTTTACTGCTACCAGCAAGCAGAAATATTTCTCCTCCCGATGATGGCCATTTCGGACGAAACTAGTCGAGGAATCTAAATGGAATAATAATAATAAAAAAAGAAAGAATATTAATCTACAACACAGTGTGTCTGAAGATTTTAATTTTTTATATTTTTTTATTGTTCAAAATATCTATCTATCTATCTATCTATCTATCTATCTATCTATCAGTCTGTTCATATCTATCTATCTATCTATCTATCAGTCTGTTCATATCTATCTATCTATCTATCTATGTAAGTCTCTTCATTTCTATCTACCTATCTTAGCGTGTTCATATCTATCTATCTATCTATCTATCTATCTATCTATCTGTCTCAGCGTGTTCATATCTATCTATCTATCTATCTATCTATCTATCTATCTATCTATCTGTCTCAGCGTGTTCATATCTATCTATCTATCTATCTATCTATCTATCTATCTATCTATCTCAGCGTGTTCATATCTATCTATCGATCGATCTATCTATCTATCTATCTAGCTAGCTAGCTAGCTAGCTAGCTAGCTATCTCAGCGTGTTCACATCTATCTATCTGATCGTATCTATCTATCTATCTATCTATCTATCTATCTATTCTACGTCGGTCTGTTCATATCTTATAATGTGATATATGGTGCTCCTTAGCTGTGGAGAATCCCTTTTAGCTCGGAGAAATACATCTTTGATCTGAAATCCATTATCGTTAGGTTATAAATCTTCATTGATAGCTGGCCTGGGTCAAGCCAACCCTCATTAAATTAGCAAACCGTCTTTATAACTTCCTGGTTTAGAAATCTTTCCAAAGCTGATGTTTGACACTCGCTTCCTAATTACATAAAAGTCATCATTAATTCTGATTTTAAGAAAGCAAGAACATATTAATTTCCGGGCAGAGTTCCTTGCAAATTTAAAATTTAAAAATAACTGTGAAAGTTCGTGCGTGTTTTTCAAAATCGGCATCAATAGAATGCAGATTTTATCGGAGTTACAATAAGGTTGCCTTTGTAATTTAACCTTGAAGATGATCTTCGAAAAGGTCGAAAGTACCTATGTTAAAAAAAAAAACGCCTTCCTTGATGAATTTCAGAATCTGATTGGATAAATGGACACGATCAGTATAAATAAATAAAGTAGACACTATATGTTTACATTGTTCAACAAAATATGTTTGAAATATATATATATATATATATATATATATATATATATATATATATATATATATATATTCTTGACTATCTATCTATCTATCTATTCTACGTCGGTCTGTTCATATTTATCTATCTTATAATGTGATATATGTGGCCTGACGATTGCATATATACATGAAACAGACTGTCGCCTCTAAGTGTTGACTTCTATGTTCACTTTTATATTTACACAAGCTCTATCTCTGATATTGAGCACTTTATTCCATAAATATAGCACACCTTAAGACTATATTTCTTTATATATATATATATATATATATATATATATATATATATATATATATATAAAGTATATAATTGGTGTATACGGAATGAATTCCAATAACCAACAATTACTATTCTTAAAAGAGTGCTCAATACAGAGTAGAGCAGATATAATTATTTATTTAAAAAAATTATGACAGAAATATGTTATAAAATCTCTACACAAATAGCCATTTTGTTTCAACACCTCCGGTGTCCTATCAAGTGATGATGTTGAATGTAAAATAAATGGTTTTAAAAGTTGCAAACTAATAACTTATATGTTAGCTCTATCTCTGATATTGAGCGCTTTCTAATAATTACCGCGCATATAATATATAACTAATAATATATATATATATATATATATATGAAAAAAATTTGAAAAAACAAACAAAAATCCTTAAATGTAGTTAAAATGAAATATCAATATATTTCATTTTAACTACATTTAAGGATTTTGTTTGTTTTTCAAAATTTCTTCATTCTGTCGGATTTATATCCATTTACACTTGCTTATATATATATATATATATACTTATATACACACTTTTCATATATATATATATATATATATATATACTTATATACACACACTTTTCATATATATATATATATATATATATATTATACTTTTCATATATATATATATATATATATATATATATATATATATATATATATATATATATATATATATATATATATATAGTGAATTAATGACCTATTATAAATATACAGGGTGCGATCGGTAAATTGTCATCATTTAATATTTTTAATTTCGCGCATGCGCGTTGGTTAGTTTTTTTTGTCGACTGCTCAGTATCGTAGGGTCAGTTGGGGACGGTCTTTGAGAAAAAGATCGCCATGACACAATTCATTCCACCGGAAATTTGGAAACGGCATGCTGTACTGCTTGGTATTTGGTATTTGCGCCCGAAGCTCCAATACGAACAGTTCAGAGTGTTTGGATGTCAATCTGAGGACAGTGAAGAAGATTCAGAAGGAGTTGGATGATGTATCCAGTTAACATCATGGCGTTTGGAGTGATTGCTAGTGATATCGACATTATGCCTCCATTCATCTTCCCACTTCTCAGACTCAATACGATGGCCTACATCAAGCACCTTGAGGAGGTAGTGCCGCCCTGGTTCAAGAGGGAGGCTGCTGGAAGACCCTATGTCTGACAACAGGACTCAGCACATGACACAGTCAAGAAAGAGTGCCCAGTCATGGCTGTTAGACAATTTCTGCGACCACATCACCCCTTACATCAGGCATCTAACGCCCCAGACTGCAACCCCCTTGATTATTATGTGTAGGGCGCAGTTGTGGGAGAGACTAACAAAACTCCTTGTAACACCAATGTGTGCGCGCGCGTGTGATTCTCAGACTGTACTGTTTAACTGTCAGTGCGACTAGACGTCCGAAATCCTCAAGCCAGGTTTGAAACCCGACCGATTTGGTGTTAGTCGGAGTTTCTACCCCTAAGCCATCAGCACTCGGAAGAGAGAAACAAAGGACAGTATATATATATATATAGCGTGTGATTTTGCTAAATTAAGCGTAATACGTTGCAGACTCGTACGGGTTTTGAAAGCAACATCTCGTTTTCATTTTCGGCGCGCAATTTGGTCGAGTCTGTTGCATACACTTTTGCACAACTTATCTTGAAAACAGCATGAAACCTTCTCTTTCTCCATCACCTATGGGTTAAATGACAGGGCATACTGCGCTCAAGCCTTCAGTGTCAACCTGTCCAAGAGTAAGAAAAGTCCCAAATGAAAACCCTGGGGGAAACATTTCACGGTCTTCCCCAAAGAACGCGCCGCATTTCACAGATAATAACGAAAAGGAATCTCTAAAGATTCATGGTCGCCAACATTCTGTAGCACATGATATTAAATTGGAAGGCTTGGAAAACCTGACAAGCATAGTACATACTGACCACAAGAGACGAAATGAGAAACAGCGCGTGACAAACTCAAGGAGCTTGTCAGAACAGGGTTAGAGATTGATTCGCATTTTACGGCTTATCAACTATTTTCAGGTTATTTAAAGCTAGAAAATATTTTAGATCATAACAATTTTTATTTAATTATATAATAATAATTTAGTGATACAAGGTTTACTAATTAACCCATAGCTTGGGGGAAGATGTGGATTCATACCTTATTATAATTTGATAAACAAACAGCAAATTATAATGTGGATATAAGTGCGGGATCGATTCTATATTATAATCAATATAAAATTTGATCCCTCACTTTGTGGTCATGGTAGTTTATATTCCAGAGAATGTAAATAAATCTGTGTAGCTAATCAGTATTTCATTGATTGATTCATATTTTACGGCTTATCAACCCCCTTGTAGAATTTTTTTAGATAATGTTTTAGCGATACAAGCCTTACTAATTAACCTGTAGCTGGGGGAGAAGAGGTGGATGTATACCTTTCCCAAATGTATTTGTACTTAAAGAAATATAAATAAACTTAATAATTCCGAGCCATTATGCATTACCCAACTTACGCCTACAAGCTCACAGCACCTGCTCTTCCCAAACTGTCACCCATCTAAGTTCTGACCAAGCTGGACGTTGCTTAACTTACGTAATCGTACGGGGATCAATGTTTCAACTTAATGTGACCGTAAGCCTAGCGAGAGAAAGGGGGACAGTAAAATGATAAATATTGCTAAGAACTACGAAAAATAGGACGTTGTGAAGACCCATGATCCCCCACATCCTGAAGGGATACGGCAAATTAGAACCAATCTCTATCTCCATGGTAAAGATCAGATACATTCATTAATTCCTCAAATTCAGGCTTGCACTGCTAGAACCACGTACACAGGTTTGAATCAGTCTTATGAACTTTGTATTCCATTAGTGAGGAGGAAGTACCATTCAGAGTGTTTCTTCCTGGGAACCGACTCCCGAGACGATGCTTCCTCGGGCGATATGCATCCTACATAACTTCACAATCGGCACGTAGTTTCCTCACTTACAGGACTTCATTGAGTAAAGTTCTACATTGAGTGGTTCTTGGGCCTTCTATCGAGTGAACGTTTGGTAAGGCACACAAGCAAAGAGCTGCAGGAGAAAGAAAAAGAAGGTGGGGAGAATTGGAGGGTGAAAGTCGCATCAAAAATATTTCCCATACTTAGCAAACGACGTCTCTGAAACATTCCCGTTCAGAGCATGAGCCCTTATAGAAAGCAAGCCTCTCTCTTTCGTCAGCAACACACACACACACACACACACACAGAGAGAGAGAGAGAGAGAGACAGACACAAACACAAAAAGACAAACACACTCATAACGACACATCCATACAAAACAAGACTGAAATGCAAATATGATGACTATATATATATATATATATATATATATATATATATATATATATATATATGCATATGCAGATATGTTGATATGACTGGCATGTGAAAGCATCCAGACGCAAGTCTCAACTCAGGGCGTCTCCCCTCTTTTCGTACCCATTCAACAGAATTACCCACCCCGAATCAACCTCCCGTCATTTCCTTCCTTCTTTCCTTCTGTCTTTCCTTCAGCTCTCGTAAAATTCCCACGTGCTCTGGCTAAGCAAGTTTACGCGGGATTCTTTCGCTCTCGTCGTCACCTTAACTCTTGAATTCACCAAAGACTATTCCCACCCGCCATCTTTTACCACCCCAGCCCTTTCCGGTGAAGCTCCTGATCCCAGACGGGCATTTTGACAACAAGCACACGTCTTCTTCTTTTCTTCTTCTTTTTTTTTAATCGTTTCGTCGTAAGCAAGGCGATAATGCCACTAAGACGCAAGGGGTTACTGGGAGTGAAAGAGAATGAGAAGTCATTACTTTGGAGAAAGGACAATAAAAGAACAGGTTTCAGGAAGACAGAAGATGACGATAATGCCACTAAGTGTCAAGGGGTTACTGAGAGTGAAAGAGAATGAGAAGACCTTAGTGAGGAGAAAGGACAATAAAAGAACAGGTTTCAGGAAGACAGAAGATAGCGATAATGCCACTAAGAGGCAAGGGGTTACTGAGAATGAAAGAGAATGAGAAGACTTTAGTGAGGAGAAAGGACAATAAAAGAACAGGTTTAAGGAAGACAGAAGATGACGATAATGCCACTAAGAGGCAAGGGGTTACTGGGAGTGAAATAGAATGAGAAGACTTTAGTGAGGAGAAAGGACAATAAAAGAACAGGTTTAAGGAAGACAGAAGATGACGATAATGCCACTAAGTGTCAAGGGGTTACTGAGAGTGAAAGAGAATGAGAAGACCTTAGTGAGGAGAAAGGACAATAAAAGAACAGGTTTCAGGAAGACAGAAGATAGCGATAATGCCACTAAGAGGCAAGGGGTTACTGAGAATGAAAGAGAATGAGAAGACTTTAGTGAGGAGAAAGGACAATAAAAGAACAGGTTTAAGGAAGACAGAAGATGACGATAATGCCACTAAGAGGCAAGGGGTTACTGGGAGTGAAAGAGAATTAGAATACTTTGGTGAGGAGAATGGACAATTAAAGAACAAGTTTATGGAAGACAGAAGATGTCGATAATGCCACTAAGATGTAAGGGGTTAATGCGAGTGAAAGAAAATGAGAAGACTTTTGTGAGGAGAAAGGACAATAAAAGAACATGATTCAGGATGATGAAGAAAAATAATCGCAAGCTTGTTCTCAGGAACACAGAAATTGGCGATTGGTGTTGAATTTTTGACGATCAATGTAGGTGACAGGGAAGCAAGAAATGGGAAGAGAGTTACACAGGCGAGAAGTACGAGAAATGAACTATTAGATTAAAACTTACGGTTACACATAGCTAGTTCAGGAGTAAAACGTTGGGACCTAATTGCCAGTCTAGTAGTCATCCGTGATTGCATATGATTTTTATCACGCCCAGACACTATTGTTTCGACTATCAATTCGTTGTCCTACCGCTATTGTCTGCGATAGACGTTACTCCAAGGATGCGTACGAAAATTGTAAGGCTGCACGAACACAATGACAAAGACATACCAGTGAGCAAATCAAAGTACTATAGACTGGCCCGTAAACATGTCTGATTTAAATCCAATCGCGAATCTGTGGTCAATCTGTAATGAACGACTTCGTGGAATGGACATACGAAGACGTGCAGTGGGTCATATTCCATTGGAATGATGGTAGTCTGTCTTTTGGACATAGAGCCCTTCCTGGACCATATAGATCCAGGAAGAGTTCCTGGAAATTACAAACGGATTACCATATCGTATCATCACTATATATAAGGTCTTTTTTTAATTTAAAAAAAAAAAACAAACCTTATACAACTTGTAGTTATTAAAAACAAGGATCATAACATTCATCGAGTGATTCGTAGGTTAATGCAATTTTAAAATTTTGTTTGCAAAGAGTTTTCGCCATTTTATATCATTAACTTTACTAATCTACTTTTTGTAAGAATGACTTATGTAATATAATTTGAACTGCACCACATATTTGATGTATATATTAAATATACATACATACATACATATATATTTCTTTTCTTTTTTATTACAGTATCCAGAGGGCCAAACTTCAGATTATTCGGATTCAAATTCTTAAAGGTCTGGGTTTGACTCAAGCACCGAACATCACAGTTCCAAAATATGAAAATATTTCCATCTCGGAATCGAAGTTCTGTTACCGACCGACTTGTAAGTTGACCCAAGTTTTCTTTTTATACTAACTTTCAGCCAATACTGAAGGTCGTGTGTCACTCGGAGGTAGAGGAGGTAGAAATATGAATAAAAAACGACTGACTCTTGATTTGATTGTAGTAATGGGAAGCATCCCCGCGGGAGTTTCTTCCAAATGATCGTGTTGGGTGACGAATTATTTCCCACCCTACAACCCCTTTCTCGTAGGTGAAACGACGCAAGTCCCTCGCTACTATCTTGCTATTTCCATGGAAAGTGCTCAGACGAGCTATATTCTTTAGTTCCACCAGTTCTAACCTTCACGGCAAAGCTCCTTCCCACGAAATACTGTTTTGTGGTGCCAACTCCCAAGAAGGTGCTTCCCCGATCATTATAATTTAAACCTGTTCATGTTTAATGCTAACCGTTATTCTCCACATATCCACATAAACTATGCCTCTTACTCTGTAACCCACTAACTCGAGTGCCTCTCATGCCTTCTACAGCGTGAACATCATTGCAAAAAAGTGCTCGGGAAACAAGTGTGAATAGAACTTCTTTATGAATGGAATACGGGTGAAATGTGGGTGATTCGGTTTTGTAGATGTAGCATGGTGGGTGATAGCTATAAAGATCGAAATTGGGCTGGGGGCTAAAGATTTGAACGCATTTGAACATTTTAAGCCTGTGAAGAAAGAGGTTGTAGATTGGAAAATAACTCTCCCTTCACATGATCGCGTAAATTATTTCAAACACGGGGGTGAAACGACTAAGGTTATAAAAAAACAGGCAACCTCCTCCTGGATGATCTGTTGGCGGTGGTTCTCAGGAGATCCGACATTGTTATGTCCGTTCACTCTTTGATGTTGTTTGAGCAGTTTTTGCTTTGCCGTCCGCGTAAACGCCCGCCTACAACAGTGCCTTGCATGATGATCTTGCAGAGGCTATTATGCCGTCTGACGTGGCTAAAACATGACATCTCCCGACTCTTAATAGTAACGAGAAGAGATTCCTGTCGTCCCACGAAAGAGATTCCCACGAACATAGTCACTGGATCTAACCAACGCCTTTATCCACTGTGCCATGTGTTCTTGAGTGTGAGTTCAATACCCGGTTAAGGCAGGGGAGAACTTTCAGAGGGAAAATTAACAGGAGATAACTGATAACTGACATCCATTAAACATGGCATGTGGAACTAGAACAGTCTAAACCAGTGAGCGAAATAAAGGTTTCAGTTCGACATTCCAACCACCTGAAGAAGGCCGGAGCGTACAACGGCCGAAAACGTTGTAATAAATATGATGACAAAGATGAGGACAATAGTCTGAATAATGTAAATAGTGTACATAATACCTCATCTCAGAAATATAGACAGATACTGAACGGCCGAAACGTTGTAATAAATATGGTGACAAAGATGAGGACAATAGTCCGAATAATGTAAATAGTGTACATAATACCTCATCTCAGAAATATAGACAGATACTATGAAAATATTTATCAGAAAGGCAGTGGGCAAATGACTGAAGCCGAGATGCCAGATCAGGACCAATAATATTGCTGATTCTTCTTTAGATCTTATCAAGGAGCTCCAGGCTTTCCTACCGCCCGGTCAACACTCCTCCCCCTTCTCTTGGTCATGAGTAGAGGCTTACGCCTTGTTTCTTGTTTAGGAAGGGGTTCTCGGTACTCTCTCTCTCTCTCTCTCTCTCTCTCTCTCTCACTGGCCTCTGTATCTCCAGTTGCCTTGATCTACCCAGTACCCTTCTCCTCATCCTTTCTTCTATCACTCCTATCTGATCTTGCTCCAAATTTTCTGTAACCCCTTGCGTCTTAGTGGCTTCCCGCCTTGCTTGGGGTGATACGCTTAAAAAAAAAGGTAAATATCAAAGGCATCGGATCATATATGGCAGCAATATTCTAAGCATGGACGAATGGTAGACTTATAGATATGCAAGATAAATTCCGGATGGAAAAATTGTCTCGCACGAGCCACTAAACCGACTTTGTTTCCTCCAGTGTTTCGTTGGCCATAGTGGCGCTGAAACTGGCGTTGCTTCCACATAGGTTTCTCTGAGTTGGGTTTAGAAAAAAAAGTGAATCAGAGCTGACAGGGTTATATTCATATATGGTTACAACGTTAGCTTTTTGACCATGAGCCCCGGGTTTGATTCTTACCATGGTCGATTTATCAAAGGGTGACTTCTTGATAATATCGGTCTAAAAGGGACATGATCTCAGCGGGCGGCGTCGTTGGAAAATACCTAAAAAACATACCGTCAGTTGACCCAAGCTTTGTCGGTGAAATTTATAACTAGTGCCTGTCAGCTGACCTCACCCCTGGCCTAACCGTCACTGGGGAAAAGACTGGCTGATATCATTCAATACGTCCAAAACTAAACCCGTAACCTTTCATTCCCACCGAACAGACCCCAGACCTACTCCAATCGTGATCAGTGGTCATAACCCCACAAAAAACAAAGAAAAGAGTACTGAGCTGCTACGTGACATCAGTCCGCCTTTATGGCAAAGAATGTGGACATCTCAAAGATATAGAAGAGACTCAAGGCGACGGAGATGTGGTTCTACAGAAGGATGCGAAGGATATAATAGACTGATCGTGTGAGCAACTATGAAGTTTTGGAGAGGATGCAAACAAGGAGAAAGCTTATACTTAACATCAGGAAGAGGCAGCTGAAGTTTCTGGGGCACGTAATGAGAAAGGCGGGCTTGGAGAATCTGATACTCGCAGGGCGAATAGAGAGACAAGAGAAAGCTGTGTGTGACATACCTAGCGGGCTTAAGCAAGTGGATGACAGAACGTAGTCTGAAGAAAGTAGCTGAGAGACAAAACATATTAAGAGATACAAAATCAACCAATCAACAATATATATTTAAAGCAAAAAGACCAACAATACATTTTATCTGTAGTTGAAAGCATGAGATTGCGTTCAAAACATTTAGATTTTAGCATTACATAATCTATAGAGCTGTTAAATATATCTCTAAACAAAATCACCCAACAGCAACTTCGATAATTTACCTTCTTTTTTTCAGTCACTTTTATCAATTTCAATTTCTTTTTTTATCCAGGTAGCATCCCGAGTCGATCAACTGACGAGGAAATGTGGACAAATACGACTTCGAACGTTTTAAATCTGTATTTCAACCTTACATCTCGAAGGCACTTGGGTGGTCACGTGAAAACAGCGGCGCTTTGGCTTCATTTAAAAGCACATAACCGTGAGTTTTTATTCTTTGGTTTGAATTTGATTTTTGATAGCGTCAAAAGAAAATCAGGTTTTTATAGAATCATAGAAATAACGCTCAAGGCGATAATGCCACTAAGGCACAAGTGGTTAATGGGAGTCTTAGAGGATGAGAAGACATTAGCGAGGAGAAAGGACAATAAACAAACAGGAATTAAAATGATAGAAAATGGCGACTGACGCTGAGTTTAAATTTTTGAAAATCGTGGATGGCAGGAAAGCAAGGATTTGAAAAGTTCTCCTAGAATAAAACTAACGGTTACATCTAGCTAATTCAAGAGTAAAAATATGAGACCTAGTTGACAATCGAATATATCTGGCCACTTGTATTCGAGGATACGCGTCTACTAGAGTGGATAGCCAATCCTTATTGCAAGCACTTTACTCGACATCCACACAGCCCACCTGTGGTTTATACTGCAACTATGCTGAGCAGACCTTAGCGTGATCAACAATTTGAACAAGGCTAGTACGTTAAAGCCTAGATGATCTTTAAGCAAGGATAAACACGTGCATTTTCGACAAGTATTTTACGGAACAACATGCCTGCCCGCACACACAATTCCGTAAAATACTTGTCGAAAACACAATTATACTTCGACATGAAAACAATAGACAAAAACTAAAAATCCTTGAAGCATTATACATTAAACAGTTTAAACCCGACCTAAACAAAATCAACTATGAAATCTCTACAAATATCCTTAAATATCTGTAATTGGTGACGGAGGCCATTGGTTTGTGCCAACGGCTTTCCATACTTCATACTTCACTCGCGCGTGGTCATGTGTGACGTCATGAAATGCGGTGCGATTTTCGCTTCTAGCGTCTTATATGCACGTGTTTATCGTTGCTTAGAAATCATCTATGTAAACATTGACAGACCGTCATCACTGTCTTGTCCGTATATTGCTTAATATGTTGTAATTGACATCTTTGATAATGGCTTGTGTAAGCCGAAAGTTTAGATTGTATCTAAAAAAAAATATGTATCAATATTGTGAATTTCTTTCTTCGTTCAATTATAATGTTATTAAACTTATTAGACGTTATGAAAAGAGTTTACATAAAATAGACAACACTTGTCTATATTATTTAATGAAACGTGTATATATATATATATATATATATATATATATATATATATATATATATACTAGTAGTAGAGCCCCGCGTTGCCCGGGGATGTAACAGTAAGAGATAGATCAAGTATCGACCATCATAAAGACTGAAAAATAAAATTGACAAAGATTATTGTTTAAGGTTGACGGACACGCATGTCTTAATTAGTTTTTGTTTTTTTTTTACGAATTGGTCAAACCCAAACTCAAACAAAAACATTGTTTTCAATCGTTATGAGTCTATCGATTGAATAGAATTTTATTATAAACAATTGTCTTGTAAATGGAATTTTTAAAGCATTCTGAATGAAAAAATAAAGAAAAAAGTGTGCAAGACAATAAGAAACAATACCTGCCAAAAAAAAAGTGAAGTTTTGTTGAAATCGGTTGAAAAATGTAGGAAATCCGATCCTATATATAAACGAACACACACATAAACAACCTGGGTTTTATAATAAGTATAACTCGATATGAGTTGTCCCCCTTTCATTTTGGCGACTTAATCGTGTTTTCAAATTGATTTCGTGCAAAAACAATTGTGTTTTTCCAATTTGTCCGATTTGTCAGAACCACCGCAAGGTAATTTTACGCAGTCCCGTGAAGTTTTGTTGAAATCAGTTGAAAAATGTAGGAAATCCGATCCAATAACAGACACACGAACAGACACACACATACACACACACACGCACACACACACACACAACCTGGGTTTTATAATAAGTAAGATGTATGTATTATAATTTTTTCATATAGACAAAAACAATTTACTCACGGCAAAGATGCACCGAAACGAAGTTTTTTTTGTCTATATGAAAAAAATCACAGTAAATAATTATTTCTTTACTATCGGTATCGATCCCTCTTTTAAATTAATGCTGTGAACGTTCGAATTTATATATTATTTTCGTTCTCATTACATTCGGATATCTATCTATCTATCTATCTATCTATCTATCTATCTATCTCTATCTCTCTCTCTCTCTCTCTATATATATATATATATATATATATATATATATATAACACCCAACACACGCCTACCCAATTTAAACAATTCGCCCTAGCTGTTACCATGGAAATTTTGATTTCAATTATTAAAACACGTAAATTTCAGAAATACGTTATCCCCCCCCCCAAAAAAAAATTCGCTTGAAGATGGAACAGAGCTTACTTTAACTCAATTTAATTCAAATAATTATATTGAAGTTTTCGGCTCTTGTTTTGAAACATGAGACCTCTTATGTCGCGAGTTGAATCATATTTTAAATAAATAATTATATTTATGCTCTACTTTTGTATCGAGCACTATTTTTTAAAAATAATAACTAAAATACTAAGGAACTTTGGATTATTTACCTAACCAGTTCTTTCCTATTTTCTATATATTTTCACACACATATATATATATATAGTTTTAATCATCTTGATATCGAAAATGTTCTCTTTTCTCTTTCCAGATAGCTGCTTGTGTGACTCACGCATCATAATAAATGTCGGTTACCTTGCGAAACCCTTGAAAAAGCATCAAAAGAAAGGTAAGTAAATGGAAAAAGAATTTCCTTTTTTGATTTGAACAATAAATGTACCATTGTAATAAGCTGATTAATATGTAACAGAATGTGAAATTGGAAAAAAAGAAAACTGTGTAAATCAATCTCATTTTTTGTCTGTCTTTTAGCAAAGCGCCGAGTGACAGACGTACGTGTTGTTACCCACCAAAGTAATTCCTGGCAGTCTTTTAATATTCAAAGAGCGGTCTCTGAATGGATGAATCCGAAGAAGAATTTTGGGCTCCAAATCGTTATAACAGATCAAAGTGAAAATATACTGAATGCCCGTGAAATCATCACTCATCTTGACTGTTCAGATCCCAGTAAGAATCTTTGATTTATTTATTAAAGACATTTTATTATGTTTAACGTTGTTATTTTATAGATACAAGTATTTAAGTAAATGCTCTGTTTATAATAAACAGTATTAAATAACATTTACCGGCCTGAATGTCCGAGAAATTTTCATAGAAAATATTCGTTCTTTGACAGGATTCGAACCTGCATCCTATACGGAACCGTCATATACGCTGACGTGCCTTACCGCTAGGCTACAAAGAAGCGTTCGGTAGACAAGGTCGAATTTACTGCTTTATAAACTCCAATTTTCCATGAATCTCGTACATTCATAACTGCTCTGGCGTATCGAATGTAAACAAATGACGTCATATATTAAGAAATGGACAAGGTCCGACAATTTATTTATTAAAGACATTTTATTATGTTTAATCTTTGATTTCTTTGAGATATGGAATTATCATTGCTTGAAGTAACCGCGAACATTGCACGATTTTCCGAACTGAATGTTCGGACAATTGATTGAATGAAGTTCCTTGCTACATTGCTGTAGAAATTTGCCTATTACACCCTTAAATTTAAAAAAGAAATATAGTCTATTAGTAATTAAGAGTAAAAAATATTTTAAAATTGTAGTTAAATAAAACGTATTCTAACCCAAACACCCCAAGAAAGAATCTTTAAGTATACAAGTACGAAAAAAATGCCGAAAACCTTTTTGCCGTTAATACAAAAAAAAAAAAAAAACCAGACGACATGCATTTAACGGATGACAGAATTCGTTGAAAAATACATCCCTACCCTCCCTAAACTTAACCTCTTTTACGAACGTAACTCATAATTGGTACAACAATAGTTAATAAAAATGAACATGCTACCGCCCCTTGTCTAAATGATTGGATTTCTCTGTATCCTTGGAAACAGGAAATTATGAATTTATTTATGCGTTTAAAACTCAGCAAATTTAAAAATAAGTTATTCCAATATTCGCTTGAAGATGTAACGGAACTAATGCTTTTAATTTAATTATATAATTAAATTTGAAGTTTCTAGCTTCACTTTTTGAAACATGGTTATTACTGTGTAGCGAAAAAGACATATTTTAAATCAGTTAATATATATATATATATATATATATATATATATATATATATATATGGAAAGAGAGGAGACAGACGACAGTAATACAGATATATCCAAATGAGTGTTACGGCAAGAGAGGGGAGAGGAAGTGAATCAAAAGAGGTTGTATTTTGTTTTAACAAAATTATGTAAAAGATAGATTTGAATGCTTGATAGAAATTTACTTAAAAAATTAAATGTTTAAATTGATATCATTCATCATTTTTTAGAGATCTAAATTTCTATCAAGCATTGAAATCTATCTTTTACATAATTTTGTTAAAACAAAATTACAGCCTCTTTCGATTCACTTCCCTCTCTCTTTTCCATTTTTCCTTTTCTTTTCTCCCCACTCCCCTCCTATTCCTACATATCATTTCCGTTAAGTTAACCATCTAAATAGGTCACGGTTCGGTCACTCCTCCTACCCCAATATAAAGCATGTTTAAGAGAGATATGAAATTAACCCCTCCCTATACTCTACCTTGTCTCGTTAACTACAACTCTCACCCCCCTGTTAAATTACAAAAATTACAGTACCCATCAATTGGAATTGTTACCTGATGATCCGGAGTCCTTTAAAAAGGATTTTGGTGAAATAAATTATTGTAATGGTACCTTAGTGGTCTGTTTTTCATTAAATATTAGCTCTGTATTCACATTGAGCTCTCAGGATTTCATCCTCCTTGGAATTACCCATTCGGTTTACCGAGTTCTTCGTAACTTATATATATATATATATATATATATATATATATATATATATAATGAATTTGACACCACAGAATAAATATACTCACTTAAAAAGAACTTTAGACATTTTTTCATGCTCTCTATATGTTGTAACCTAGGGAGAGGTTACTGAATAGAATAATCAAACGAAGGTTGGTAATGAACAATAATACTTAGGACAAGAACAATTCATATAAGATTCGCCAGCGGCGCGTAGAAGTAATAGTCAATTGCTAGATGTGAGTCAAGTGAATTCCACAATGAATCTCTAACTCTACGATATCTACTAACTACCCACGCAGTCAAATGTGGCACAAGGCCGAATTTAATGTGGGGTATCCGAGCCCGTAGGTTCGGCTAAAAATTTCCAGTAGACCCCGTATAAAACGGGGATCGGGTAGGTGTTTCCCGAGACGAGACCCTGTCCTTCGACAAAGCCTCGTATGGGGATCCTGTCTGCCCGGAGGCAGAGAGTTTAACAAGCACAGCTGGAGACGAATCTCCGACTCTAGGATATCTACCAACCGATCCACGCGGTCAGATGTGGCATAAGGCCGAATTTAATGCGGGGTATCCGAGCCCGTAGGTTAGGCCAAAAATTTCCCATAGACCCCGTATAAAACGGGGATCGGGTAGCTGTTTCCCGAGATGAGACTCTGTCCTTCGACATAGCCTCGTCTGGGGATCCTCTCTGTTAGGAGGCAGAGAGTTTGGCCAGCATAGCTGGAGACGTATCTCCAACTCAAGGATATCTACCAACCACCCCACGGAGTCAGATGTGGCACAAGGCTGAATTTAATGTGGGGTATCCCAGCCTGTAGGCTCGATCAAAAATTTCCCGTAGCTGTTTCCCGAGACGAGACTCTGCCATTCGATTTAGCCTCGTCTGGGGATCCTCTCTGCTCGGAGGCAAAGAGTTTGACCAGCCCAGCTGGAGACGAATCTCCAACTGCAGACCAACATACAGTATTCACTACTGTATTTATGGGAATAGGGACATATCCATTATCGTCCCTAGGTATGCTACAATAAATATGGTTGTAGATCATTACTTAAAGTAGTAAGTGGGTACAAATAAAAAGATTAAAAAAAAAGTAATTATTTACTTTTTTTCCTCAATAACCGTAGATCGGTTCAGACTCCACTCCGGACTTATGGACAGGAGTAGAGATTTTTTCTTTCGTTTCCCGTTTTAGCATTGGGTTTTCCGTTCCTCTTAAAGTCATATCTATCTATCTACTTCAGATATTTGGAACTATCAAATGAAGTGCTTGCAATGTAGAAACAATTACATTGGTGCGACACCTCGAAATCTACGAGTATAAGAGACATCGATGTTTGGACAACCCTTTAAACTTGCTCGTAAAACATATGAACAAAACTGGTCATAATTTTAATTTTGCATATGCCTCCCTTATCAAAAAATTAACATAATTCTTAACGTGGAAAATACTTTGAGGGAGTCCTGATAAATATTTTATCATCCATAAACACATGTCAAAAACAATATTTTACATCACCAACCTTTATTTACTCCATTCTTAAAGCATCTAACTACAAAGCATTTAACTACACTGATTGCAAATTTACCCAAATCAATATAACTCCAAACATAAATAATACCTACTAGACATATACTTACACAGAGATATGAATATACATTATCATCCGAATCCTGCATAGACAAACTAGAATTATAATACACTTACACACATAAATTATAGACACGAACGCTACTTGACAAGTCAAAGTCACGGAAAGCCTGCTTAACTAATAAAAATATTTTTTCTTCATGTGGCATACTCTGATGAAGCTTTAATAAAAAGGAAGCATGCTAGATTCATATACCGTTCCTATTTGTTCCTTATGATATCTATCTATCTATCTATATATATATATATATATATATATATATATATATATATATATATATATATATATATCTTTTAGGCATGGCTGATTGAATAAATAAGAAAATTATGTCTACTTATTTTTATCTTAATCCTTTCATACTCACAAATATTTTCCGTATATTACAAATGAATATGAAAGGATTATGATAAAAATAAGCAGACATACACACACACACATGCACACACACACACACACATATATATATATTTATAAATATATATATATATATATATTAGCGATGTCCATTTTTACATTTTATATCTTATATACTCTATCCCTGATATTGAGCAATATATATATATATATATATATATATATATATATATATAATTAGGGGGTATATTAACAATGACTGTATTCCTTTGGTATGATCACCGTTTTCTTTTATTTTTTCTCCGTATCTCATTTTCTGATGAAGCTTTAATAAAAGTGAAACATGTTGGATTATTATCTGTTTGTTCCTTATCCTATCATACATA